CGGATTGAATGCATTTGTGGCCATAATTGTAGCGAAAAGACAGCGAAACGACAATCAGTTTATAAATCGCCACAAAAGTGTGGTTTCGTGTCAAACGTATCGCTAATTGTGTGTCAATTGAGTGGCGATTCACTCGTGAGTGTCGACTGAACCGTGAGATTGTCTGCCGATATCACAGCAGTTATCATACGATTGGTACCGCATTTCAGTGGCAATCAGCGCATCATTTGGTCATTTGTGGTGATAATGTCTGTCATATATCGAGGACTGGTGTCGGCGGTGGATCGGGTGGTGCCTCGAGCTGTCCGTCCCCTCTGGGAACACGAGGCCGGACCTAAAACCGTCTTTTTCTGGGCGCCGGCCATGAAATGGGTCTCTAGTCTTAAGCCATTGCCATATGTTTTGTTGATATGACTCGTGTTGACCACTGTTTGACTGTTGATTATCTGTTGTACATGTCTTAGGGTCTGGTAATCGCCAGCATTTCCGACATTCAACGGCCCGCAGACAAACTGTCGGCGCCTCAAACGGGTATGTCTGATGGACACGAATGTGCGGTCAGTATATAAGTGGTGTTTGTCGTGAACTACAGGTGCGTTGGCGGCCACGGGTGTGATTTGGTCGCGATATTCAATGGTTATAACGCCCAAGAATTGGAGTCTCTTTTCGGTGAACCTCTTCGTCGCCGGCACTAATCTCTACCAATTGTTTCGCATTTTTAATCACAACCGAAGTCTTAAACACCAATAATTGGTCGCTATTTATAGTGAATTGTAGTCTAATTTAACAGTTTGTTAAACAATTAGTCAACTATTTGTAGATAAATATACGGAACTGTTATTTAAGTTAATATATTATTTAAACGCGAATTTTTACGTAACTTTTTTGGATAAGTTATTAGGATTTACCGGTTATTTGTGTGAAAATCATTTTTTCTCGCTTTTTTTAGATTTAAGTTTTAAATATCAATTTTTTTGTTTGAATTCTCACTTAAATTGATCTAAAATTTTGAATTGATTACAAATTAAATCTCAATTGTTATTTGCTAGCAAATTATATATTTCTATAAAAAATGCTTAATTATAATGAAATTAAAAGTTTTGTTATTTAAAATACGATGACTTTTCACTCATTGGCTTTACATTGAAATGCCATCTGTTTTGCGACAATTATTTATAATCGAAACCTAAATTTAATTAAGATTTGGGTTTCAATAGGATTTAAATAATGGAGAAATTGTTTGCCTTTATATTCACTGTTTTGTTTAATTGTAAGTATAAATCACGGCTTAATTGTCGAAAACTTAACATTTGTATCAAATTTTTTCATAAATCAGTGCTTATTGTAAGCGAAGTGAGCTGTCAGTATGGAGGTGGGTGCGATGAGCCAGGTGCTATACAATTGTCGATTAAACAAATGTGTGAATTAGTGCCCGACACGGGCACCGGCACTCAAGACATTGTCCGCATTTATTACAACCCTGTACTACAACAGTGTCTGCCGTTTTCGTGGTCGAGTGTGGGCGGGAACGCCAATCGATTCATATCCATAAAGAACTGCTACGAGATATGCCATCCCGCGGACCCGGGGTTCAGGAGACTGACGGCCAGTGGTGTCCGCGCGTATCTCGTCAAACGAAAGCCTCCCAAATATTGTAACGGCAAAAAGCCAGGTATTCCTGAATTAGGTGTTCCTGAGACCATAATACCGGAGTCTAAGGCGGCCGCCGAGGAGGAGGAGGAGAAGCCGCAGATATCGGGCGATGTAGTCGTGCGACAGATTAGGAATCCCTTCGACCCCACGAAACTGCTTACCATTGTTCAGCCGATCACTTATATTATACCGAAGGGTAAGCGCAATATTGTGGTCGACAAACGCCCCTACAGACAGCCGTATGGACAGGCATTCGGACAGACACGGGGTCGTCAATGCCTCTCAAGCCTTCAGTCAAAGCAAACATATTTTGTGGCAAATTGTCTCTCAATTCAGTGATTGCTTTGTATCTGAAATGATGGACCAAATGGTGTGACAATTGAATGAATGTTTAGTTTTGGAGTTCAAAGCAATTGATGTCTCGTTTGCCGTCAAAACAAACCAAAAGCACATGTTTTCTATGCATTCATACATGACGTCAAACTAATGCCATAAATGAATATAATGTTTAAAATCACAGAATATTCTGTGAAATGATACTTAATTTTGTTTATAAATTAATTAAGATGCAAATATTTGTGTGGATAACTTGGTTTCAATATCACCAGGATCAACTTTGTAACACTGCAATATTTATTTAATTTGAACATGTTATTATTTTATTTATAAGGAATTCTTACATATTTTGTCAAATACTTTATATTTTCAAATTAATATCCAATCATACAAATTAAACATTTTTGTATGCAGTATTATTTTTTTGTTCAAATATCCTGTTCATTAATTATTATTCATGTTAATCATTTATTCGCGTCAATCAGAATAACAGTTAATATAAAAAAAATAATAAAAAGAAACTTAAAAATATATAACAATAATTATATTTTATGTTATTCTCAATTGATCAGGGTCTTAGTAATTATTATTGGGTCGGGTATGAGTGGACGTGGAGTTACAATACTCTTCAATCTGAGCAAAAGTACACGAATTCTGGCAGCAGTCCTGATGAACTGTACGTATGTTTCGGTGGAAACGATAGGGATTTTCGGTGACCATCTCTTGGAGCATAGATTTAGTCAATTCTAACACATCGGGTGTGGGCTCTGTATATGTGTCCAAACAGACCGTACGTTAAAACACCAATTATTCATAGTATCGCTCATATGATACATACCCTCCGCGAGACTATAGTCAAAAAAGTCGACCATTTTATTGGATCTCTTACTATTGAAGGTGTTATTAGGACAGGCCACTGTCAGGGCCTCGGCTAATGGCTTACCACATAATCTCATGGACAGGTGTCTCTCTAATTTTAAATAACCAAATACTTTGAAATACGAATCGCTGGTTCCCTGACTCCTATGGCCGTGACTCGGATTACAGTCACAAATTGATATCAATACTAATGACATGATTGTCCAAATGTTTAAATGAATCACCATTGTACAACTCTGTATGATGTTAAAAATGAGTTTACCCATCAATATAACAATAATTCAATTCATACTTACATTTAAATAAATGAAAATATTAATTAAACAAAATTGGTGTACCGTAAAAGAATAATTTTTATTGGAAAACTTATTTATATAAACTTATTTGAATAACATTAATGTATGGAATAAATATTCATTGAGAGCTTTTTTATTTAGTTATAGTTATAAGAGTTTGAGTACAATTTGAAGGGCTTTATATAGAGTAGAGAATTAGTTGCCATAACTGACCAGAATCTGTGAATATCTTATTTTTGCTAATTTAGGCGACTCTTTAACCACTTCCGAACTATGGCTGCAAATGACAGCTTAATATGAGAGTAGGTTTGATATGAGCATAATATTCCCCTCATGTTTGTCTAATTATAAGACAAAACATAATATAAGCAAAACATTTTTTTCATAGAAAGTCTGATTTGCTAACTTTTTTATTCCCTTTAAGTAAAATAACCATAGTACAATTCATATCTGTTGATTCTAGTTACTAATCATTCAATTTATTATAATCATAATTAATTTTATTTTTGCCTAATATACTTTATGTACAGTATATTATATACTGTCCTTATACAATATATTATATACATTCCTTATACAGTATATTGTCTAAAAATGCCGATTGATTTTAATTATATTCAGTATTTTACAAAATTTTATGTGAGAAATAATATTTCTAATTTTACTAATTGAATTAAAATTACTAGTATTTGAAGTTTTAGTTATACTTGCCATGAATTCATTTATTTGTAGAATCTTTAAAATATTTTTGGTGGATTGTTTAATATACACCAAGCATTCATGTTTGTCATTACAATACATTAATTCTTAAAATTATTGATAAACAAAAATATTTTTTGTTTCTACATTAATATCTAATAACACACTTTTAGTTAAGGTCCGGGACCATTAGTTTGGTTTGACATAATTATGACATAAGCAATGGATTATACAATTGACCAATAAACAAATGTTCTCCAAAAATACATTTTAATAATTTCTAAACATATTCTGTGGTCTTAATATAATATAATAACTGTAATAAATATAATTTACATCCAGTACTGAGTGCATATGGATTCAAATATTTGTAATCGACTGCAGATTATGATATTAAGTGGTGAGCGAAGAGGAGATTGTCCGCAGCTTTTAATCCCTTTCCATAATTAGCACTTATTTTTTCAATGTCTTAACCACACATATAAATTTTTATAATAAATTATTGTAACAAATGTCATTTTTAATACCTGTATTCATATATCTACAATTTGAAACAACGTTTAAATCGTTTGTTTTAACAATAATTTTTTGTTTTTTTCACAGAATCCTAAAGAATATTTCAAGAATAATGAATAAACCACTATTTTGTGTGCATTACTTAGTGGCTAAGAACATTTAATCAAGTTTGACCTAAGCAAAAGTGTGTGGGCTATTATTACTATTTGTAAACATTCACTCGTATAATATTAATCCCAGACAAATGTCCATTAAAAAGAAAAAACAAATTCATTTTTATGGAAGCCTTGCAAATTATTTGTTGTTTTATTTCAAAAGTTTTTAATAAATGTATTCAGTATAATAATCATAGAATTATATTGGTATTGAATTATATACTTAGAATATTTTAAAATCAGGACTCATTTTCAAAGTAATAAGTTATTACTAATAACCATAATTATAAGTTAGTTCAATAAAAATTGTAAATTATTATGAATTGTATTATGAATGGAAAATTCGTTTTAAACGCTATTGATTTTTAGACATCAACATATTGTCATTTACTGTACTGTATATTCAAATTGACTTATAAGGGATTGAATGTATTATAATATTCTGTGCAAAAACTTAGGTCTTAAACATGAAGTCATTTATATAATCCTCGTTCACGACAAGCATACTATGTATTCATTGGCTGCAAATGTAGACAAACTTTTGAATGACGTTAAACTGCATACGAATTAATCCTTAATTAATTGTACAGCAGTACAGTATTATAGTAATAGCTAATTAAAAATCTACCAATTCATATATATTTTTTATTAATCTATCAAATGTGTCCACAATTCATAAACAATAAAATTAATATCCGTATAAATTAATAAAATAAATTCTGTTGTTGTAAATTTGTCAAACAACAAACATATTGAATATTTAATACAGTAATCTAATCAATTAAATTTAAGTTGATAACAAATTAGTAGAGATATTCTAGATTATTTTACAACTTAATTAATTAATGATTAATCAACATTTACGGTGTATTGAAAAACTTTTTTTAATCATAGTATTTCACAATTAAAATATATAAGACAAAATAATTAATTAATAATCAATAGCTACAAACTATAATTTGCATTATGGTTTGCTTTAACACTTAACTTTATTTCTAAATTTGCAAAACATATCAAAAAATTCAAAGAAACAGATCATGAATAATAATATGGAGCCATTTGGGGCCGACCCCGTGTCTGTCCGAATGCCTGTCCATACGGCTGTCTGTAGGGGCGTTTGTCGACCACAATATTGCGCTTACCCTTCGGTATAATATAAGTGATCGGCTGAACAATGGTAAGCAGTTTCGTGG